CAAAATGCATATATATATATATATATATATATATATATATATATATATATATATATATATATATATATATAAAATTTATTTTTTTTTGGTCCACAACAAAGAAATAAAACATTCCAATGCAGTTCCTTGTGCCAAAGTGGTGCAAATAAGATTGTCTTCTAATATGTTGAAACTTGTCAGTTTGTAAGGGGTTCAAAAAAAGCATTTTAAAACTATGTACGAGCATGATCGTACATGATGTAGGAACTGGTGTGCTTTTATTCTGACACCAACTTAGCTGTTAATTGGCAAAAATAAAATCTACTGACAATATGAAAGAAATCAAATTCAAGATGAAACGCTACACTAGTTTTATATAAAGAGCTGTATGAAGAAAAAAAAAGGAACAATGCATAAGGATGTAACAAAGTCCATTCATTCTTTTCCTTTACTCGTTTCCTTTCTGAATGGCGGAGAGCTGGTGCCCATGTTCAGCGGTCACTGTGCTAGAAACGAGATACAACCTGGATAGGTCACACGTTCAGAAACACAAGGCTTAAAGACGTGTGACCCTGGCTAATGCTTGCTGAAGTGCAAAAATATTACCGTTGGGCCGATACATGAGAAACTGATTTTACAGATATTTTTAGTTTTAACAACAATTGTCTGAACTTCATTTATATTTCAGAGCACTACCTCATGACCAGTTAAAACAAGTTTGTATTGTTTCTATGATATTGTCCAAGGGTATGTTTTTCAATAAAACAATATTGGAAAATTGAAGGTGCATTGTGACCTTATAACACCTGACAGTGTTGCTTATAAAACAAAATCGGTATCGGCCAAAATCAGAATTGGCAGTTCAGAATTTTTATAAATCAGTGATCAGTTGGTGCACCCCTCCTTTTCTTTATACAGCATCTTACAAGGGCTTTTGACAAATTCAACACTTTTCCTTGGATTATTACTTCTTTAAAATTTTATAAAACATAATAATCTACATGTAATACACACTTTTATGCTAATATGTAAAATGTTAGATGATATAACTGCAGAAATGAGAGCTCAGCATTAAGTTTGAAAACAAACACCTGTTTTTGGAATACGAAGCACATGCAAGCAAAATACATAAAAATATGTGTTTCAAAAATATTTCCGAGGCTGCAGCTAGCAAAAAATATGTGTGGCTGTCAATAAAACAGGAAACTATTGAACTATTGTGCAAAAACTATATATTGTGAAAGCATTATCTAAATTTAGGGGGTTTATTTATTCCCGTCTGATGTCAACAGCTGCTGTTGAATTTGTGCATCAAGTTATGCAGTTTTTTTGTTTTTTTTTCCTGATGTTAAAGTTATAAATTATTTATGGTTGTATCCAAAACACAAATCTAAAATCAGTGGGGCTTTTTTAAAGTTTTGTCATAAAGTCAAACCCTTGTGGCTTTATTGCCTCTCTAGTTTACATCAGTGTCTGATACACTTGTCCTTTATTCCGTCCTGAAACAGATGGCCTTGGAAACTGTTTTCTTTCTTCTACTTCACCATTTTTTCTCAAATGTGTTTGTAAAACAAGGTGAGGGGTTAGATTTGTGTTTCAGTAGGTCTCTGCATGTTTTGTGGATGGTGCGTCAGCATATATTGGACTTCCTTATCTTGAGCCAGAGGTGAGTCAGGGTCACTTCCAGTTCAGCCCTCACTTCATGTCTTCCTGCTTCAACACACACACACACACACACACACACACACACACGCGCGCACACGCACACGCACACATAAAGACAGAATAGCAGAAAGGTCTTTCGTATGAAAGACGAAAAGTTTTGCCCTTAAAGAAACTTGTCCAGATGACATGATTTAAATTTTTTTTTGTGAAACAAGGAACAGTTTATTTAAGATACATGAAGTGTCTTGTGACCGAAAAAAAAATTTTGCTTTGGAGATTTATTTTTACAGCTCTTATAAAATAAAACAAAGGCCACATTCACACTATTCTGTATATATTTACACACAGGCTGGACTGAGTTTATGGTGAAAAAAACTGCAGTTTTTCTCTTTTTCTTGATGGCCAACTTTGGTTACAGGGAATATAATACTGTAATAATAAAATCTGGTCAGGTTCAGCTCAGTTATTGACAGTGATTGATCGGTCAGGCATAATGTGGTCAAGATAATCAATCACAGTTGTAGTGCAAGGGCTGGTCTAATAACTGGTGATACTCGCATCAAACTATGTGATGTTTAAGAAAATGGATTCAGGTTGACTAAGAAAATGGATTCAGGTTGACATTGCTACTTATTTGATGGATATTTTTATTTTGGCAGCCAGTAAAAGCATTGACAATACAAGTTTCTCTCAGCAGAAAACATTTGGTTCTTGACTTTTTTATTGATTGAGTCATGTTAAATTTCTATAGAGAAATGGCAGTGATGAAAACCAGGGTAAACCACAAATAAAAGGGTTTTCTTGGAACTGTGTGGTATTTTTTATTTTCTAATAACTCCAATAAATGCCTCACAGTGGTAGGTCCTTACCTAACAGTTTGGTGGGCAGCACATATATGTGATTAGAGCACTTTTTATATATTCTTTTGTATGTAGTAGGATAATATGGTTTTATTGCTTGAAAAGAGAGTGCGGACAAATAGACATTTTTGAGCTCTCTTGTGTTATGAAAGATGGGTGTGAACTTGAGACGTGCACACAAATATTTACTTCTTTCTTTTTCCTATTTATCTTCCACTGGGTGTGTGTCCACATGCAGGAGTAGCTACTCAGTGCAGTATGTTTGAGCCTTCCTGTGGGAGTGTAAGTGCATGTGCCTGCCGTATTGGGTTTCGACATAACAGGTGGAATAGGCTTTGCGTCATCGGTGATTGGGTCAAATGTCACGATTTCTCTCTGCAGTCTGTCACCACTTCCAGCCTCCACAAGCCCACCCGCCCCAAAATTCTTGCAGTACAGCCAGAGGCAGTGGACCTCTCCACCCTACATACTTTCTTTTACAATCACAAAACTAAACATATGCTCACTCACATGTGAAAGTGTTTCCTGAATGTCTGCTTGTATCGTTGTCATGACGTCAAGAAACAGAAGCATGGCTCTCAGTAGTAACACAGAATAACCACATTCTCCTAAAGCAACTATGGTAACACTTGTATCTTCAATAAAAGTCTTAATGTTTGTTTTTTTTCTTGTTGTTTTCGTATGTGTCTGTTTGTAGTCATGGCTGAGGACGTATGGTTACTTGCCCCAAGCCAGCCGACAGATGTCGACCATGCGATCAGCTCAGATTCTGTCCAGTGCCATCAGTGACATGCAGCGATTCTACAGTCTGGAGGTCACGGGTCAGATGGATGCTCAGACCATCAGGTCAGCAGGGCTTTGCTATGATGAATTCACTCATTCATACATTAAAAAATAATTAAACCCCATGCACTGCTTGTCAGTCCATTTTGGTTCTCTCAATGTGTTAAATAGTCTTCTGGTTTGAGAAAGTCTTTATAATATAGGAAAATTACTGTTTTGTTATACATACATACAGTAGAGTTGAATTCCCTCCCCTGCTTTCTTCGTAACATTGCTAATAAAACACGCTCTCACAGTTTTTTGTAAAGGACAGTTCAAACAACACGAGTACAAGTTAAACTAGATGGGAATACTCGGACTTCAGTGAAGCCTAGGAGGGGTTGTAACACCACACCACCCTCCATCTTCTCTGTTATCGTTCAAACACATAACACCGTCCTGCTCCTGATTTCTTTCAGCGCCATGAAGAGACCTCGCTGCGGCGTGCCTGACAAGTTTGGAGGGCAGATCAAAACCAACGTGCGGCGCAAGCGCTATGCACTCACTGGACATAAATGGAACAAAAACCATCTCACTTACAGGTAACAAGACGAACACATGTCACAAAAAGACCTGTAGTTTGTTGTTGATGCTACTTAAAAACAGTCCAATGTTATTTATATTCTGAAACACAAACTGAAAATGTGGAAGTAAGCCTTAATGTAGTTTTTCAGTCACCTTGTTCAAACTTGTAGCTCAGACAGCATAAACAGCCTTATGCAAACTGTCAGGTTTTTGAGTTGCACTCATTTTAATTGTCTCTTCTACCTTTTTTGTTACTATAGCATTCAGAACTACACCCCTAAAATTGGAGAGTATAACTCATATGAGGCCATCCGGCGGGCCTTTAAAGTCTGGGAGAGTGTCACCCCACTGACCTTTGATGAAATCTCCTACCAGGAAATCAAATATGGACGTCGCAAGGAGCCCGACATCATGATCTTTTTTGCTTCGGGTTTTCATGGGGACAGCTCTCCGTTTGATGGGGAGGGGGGCTTCCTAGCTCACGCCTACTTCCCTGGACCTGGAATGGGTGGGGACACGCATTTTGACTCTGAAGAACCGTGGACCATAGGGAACCACAATGTCCAAGGTAAACAGTAACAGTGTTTTATATTTTAAGGATTTTGGGGGATTTTTTTAAAAAGATCAGATCAAACAAAAGGCCACTTACTGGGTTTAAATGACATGATGTAGGCTTTTATTGAAATGTTAGGTGAAAGCAAAGATTTGAGTGGTTTCAGTGAACGAGGTGGATTTATTATGTAATAGATTACAGACAGCTTCCCCTGTGACTTGGACCTTTGGCTAACCGTATGTGGCACAGTACAATTAACCCCAACCATGTGTTACCATATAGCACTGAAAAAGCTCAAACACTTGTTAGGCATCTCAGCCTGTGTCTCAGTTTTCTTGTGGAATAATCCATTAACCATTATGCTGCTCCAGGAACACACATGCAATGTACTGGTAGATACTTCAGGCTTTTTTGGACTTCAATTACTGCCCAAACCTTTTCTCATCTGCCATTGTTTTAGTGCTCAGCTCCTCCAAATCAACATAGATGTCAAGGATTTAACTAATCTTATACAGAAGTTAAGAGTTTAGGGAATCTCTTTGTCAGACTTTTGTTTGTAACTTTTAACTCACCTGATTATCTACATTTGCTTTGCAGACACAGACAGTTAATGGTTGTGTGTTCTTGTGCATGTGTGTGTGTGTGTGCTTGTATATAAGTGTGTGTCTGTGGCGTGTTTCAGAGCAGATCACAGGGATGAAGGAATGCCACAGTAAGTGGGAGAGTGTTCCACTCAGGGAGATCTGAAGATCAGTCCCCTCGTTGCGCTACACCACTTACACAGTTTAAAAGCAAAGTTCAACCAAATTACAATCTGCTCTTGAGACTGACAGAGTCTCCTTTTAATTATGGGATGTTTGCAATCTTCCTGTCTGATATTGATAAAACGTTGACTCCTAGCTTTTGTAAAATTTGAGTGTCCTCAGTTTTAGTTGAAAGTATCCGTGCTAATGGATCCAATTCTTTGCTGTGACAGTTTTTCAAAATTTGTTTGATTACTGTTGTTAAACAACAAAAATACAGACCATACCAGTTTTTCTTACTGTATGGAAATTGTGTTTATTTTACATGCTGGCCAAATATTACTATTGGATTATTTTTCTTCAACGCAAATTTGGCAATCGTTGAAAACACAAACAAAATGGTCAGTTCTTTAGTCGATCAGCAATCTTGTGATATGGTGTTTGGTTGCAGTACATCATGTTGCAAAAGACTACTGTAAAAAATCCCATGTACCCGATGGTGAAAATTTGGGGTAAAAAAAGTTTTGAAATCGCAGTGCTGTTTGGAGCTTTATAGCTCAATACTTCACAGTAGATACATTGTCAGTTTAGAAGAGGTCATTTTGATATAATTTACATTCTCCACACAATCACAGTTTAAGTGTTATGATTGGTGGAGATTTTATGACAAAATGTTTCACTTGGTAGGTTGATGATTGTCATATTAACTTCTGAGCTGTCAAATCTTTCCATATTTTTGCAAACAAACTCTTCATGCTCCCACAACTCTTCCATTTTTACATCAAGATGCAGTGTTTTTATCTTGTTCTCCCAGTGTTTCTCACTGCTATGGTCTACTCTAAAGTCCTTCAAAGTGCAGAGGCCACCCAAACTAACATTGACTCCAATTCTATCTGAGCTAAGAATTTTCTTTTCAGAACTAGAACTGAAGAGTCTTTTCATCTGGCCACATCTCCTCCATGAAACACTAAACACATAAAAGTTTAGGTTTCATGACGAGACGCTTCTCCACTTACAATTCAGGATTTTCTTTCAGTAATATTTGTGTGTTTTTCACAGTACCTGTTTGTTTGTAGCCCAATTCTTACTTGGCATATCTGCCTGCCTGACTTATTAAACACTGAATGCAACAACTTCAACGTTCAATTTGATCTTGATTCTCTTTACACTTCTTATGCAGTTCATAGATCAACATGCAGGACATTTATCATTGTTCAGTTTGTTATCTTAATGTTAGTTTTTGTTTTTCTATCTGTCTTTAGGGAAATACATCATGAATCACTGGACAGATGTGAATGAAACTCAGATATCAAGAGCATTACATTTAAGATATGTTAAAAATGTTTACATACACTCTATAGGGTTGTCAATAAAGGCAACATAATTTTTGTACTTGAGTTTATTAACTAAAGATTCAAACAAATCTAAATTCAAATTTGAGTTTTAGTTTACTTTAGATAAATGTTTCGGAAAATAGTGCTTCAAAACCATTATGATGGTTTAAAAAATAGAATAAAAATAAATGATGGAGATATTAGTTTTCAATCAAGAAGTTACTAAGGTTGTAAATGTTACCACAGTTTTATACAAATACAAATGAAACTGTACCTTAACGCAACACAAATTACAAATTAAATTCAAAAATATCCTTCTTATTGAGCCCCGGCCTTTTCAAAATCAATAGCCGAATGTAAAGAATGGGTATCAGCTGATGAGAAAAGTAAAAAAAGAAAGAAAAAAAACCATATTTTTAGACATTAGATGCTTTTTCTTCTTTTTTTTTCAGAACTTCATTTTATATCAATATAAAACAAGCAAGTTACTGGAATAAATGCAGAGTAGGCTTGGGAAGTGTGTTTTGGTTGTCAAGGTGTCGCTCTGCCCTTTTGTTCTTTGGACGTCCCCCTTTTGGTGATGAATAAACTGAGACGTGACAAACGAGAAGAAACCTGCAGGGAGTTCAAATAAAACATTTCTGACAAAATGCAACGGGAGTCAGAGAAACTAACAGCTGCATTGGCCAAACTTTTAGCTGCACAAAGACTTTTGAGGTGTACATTTGCTTTTCTTTCTGTCCAGCTGAATGGATGTCAGTTACTCTACAAAGGCCTCTTTATCTCCTCACTCGCCCTTCATCCGTCTTCAGCTTTATCTCGCGCACTATTTCTTGTCTACTGCTGTTTTCTCTCCTTGAGTGTTAGCTGCAACTCAGCATGCCATGAGGACGTTCATGTGACTGAAAGTACAGAAAGTTAAAGGGGGGAGTGAATGGTGTGCACCTTTTTGTGCTTAAAAAAAGATAATAAGTGTAGAAAGGCATGCAGTGCATTTCCATTTCTTGTGCATGACATCACCACGTCTTAGTTTCCTTAATGCAGGATGTCATTGGCAAACATGTGATCAATCATTGTAGCTAATTATGGGGCAGACAAAATGGCTTTAGAGTCAAAACTCTTCCAGGCCACGGTCCTGTGTGTGCAACAACAAAGAGTTATTGACCAGGGGAAATACCCAGCTGTGGGCCGGCTTCACATAAGGTATAAACCTACAGGAACAGGCTAGAAAAGACAAGCCTACAGTTTTATAAAAATAAAAAAAGTCAGATTTTTAAATTTTATTTTGTGTTAATATGAAGTAACTCCAGGACAGGCTGGAGGGACTATGTTCCTCGGCTGGCCTGGGAACGCCTCGGGATTCTACCAGAGGAGCTGGACCAAGTGGCTGGGGAGAGGGAAGTCCGGGCTTCCCTACTTAGGCTACTACCTCCGCGACCCGACCCCGGATAAGCGGAAGAGAATGGATGGATGTTTCTAATTTTAGCGATATTAATCAGATATTACATATTATTAATAGAATTTTATTTAATAGAATTAAATAGTGTCTTAATCGAATGAATATTCTACATTAAGCATGTATGATGTAATTTTAAATCTAGAAAGTCTCATGTATTTTCTCTGACATCACTATATTATAATGTTTGTTAGTATATAGTGTGTTCACCAACTTGTTTCATGTTCTTTCAGGTAATGATCTCTTCTTGGTGGCGGTCCACGAGCTGGGACATGCCTTGGGTTTGGAGCACTCCAGCAACCCCCTGGCCATCATGGCCCCCTTCTATCAATGGATGGAGACTGAGAACTTCCAGCTACCTGATGATGACCGGCAAGGCATACAACAAATCTATGGTATGAAAGATACTCAGTTTGTTTGTGTTGTTGACTCTTCACATGTATATAATGTATGTGCAGAAAAGTTGTTTATGGAACATATTCATTTTCCAAATACTTACCAATAATTTCTTTGTGATGCAGGAAAAATGGCCAGAAAGATTACAATGTTTTCTAAATAAGTCAATCTTTTTTTTTAATGAATTTTAACCTACAGTATGTTTTTGTCAAATGTTAATTACTTTAACACTTTTTCAAATTAATTACAAATGAAGAAGTTTCTTAAAGTTTAAAATATTGTATTGTCCTGATATGATCAAACTTTGGATGCCATGTGATAATATGAACTTGAATGTTTGCATGAAATGAGTTCATCTATAGAGCATCAGGGTCACATGTCCATTTATTTTCTGAAGGGCAAGGTGACAGTGGCCCCACCCACACTCTGCCTACAGTGACCCCCCGCCGCCCAGAACCCAAACCACCTCAGCCACCTCCTCGACACCCTGACCGACCCAGGACCACTGACAAACCAGACCACTATGGACCCAATATATGTGAAGGCAACTTTGACGCTGTTGCTATGCTGCGAGGAGAGATGTTTGTTTTCAAGGTAAATCTTTTTAACATCATATAGTAAGAGCATTTTTAAATTTAGTGACAACATTAGACGAAAGAGGCTTACCTTTTTGAAGATTCATTTATATGAAATCCTTGTTTAAAAGATCAGTCTGCAGCATTGAGGAATTAATCATTTGGCAAGTTATACTTAAAAATGATGTGCATTGCCAAGAAGTCTGTTTCCAATCAGGTTCTTGTGGATTGTAAACCCTACAGAACCGTGTTCTTTTATGAGATAGAACACTGTTAAAAAAAGATGGAGGGTGTTCAGGTGTTTGTCTTTAAAAGGCTCTGGACTCATACAAAGCATTTAAAAGGCATTAGGCAGCAGCGAGCCATTAGCCAAGAGTCTAGTCACAGAGAAACGGTTGACATTTAAATGCATCATTTTGCTGTTGTCAGGTTTTGCATTTAGCCGGGTTTGGATTTTTATTACAAGAACAGGGATTTTAAATGTTTTGCAATCCAGGTTTGTGGTTCTTTTTCATTAGACATTCTGTTGTGTGGTTTCAGTAATCGTTTATTGGTCAGGGATGTACAGTAAGAGGTCAACAGGATTTGTCCCAGAGATGAGTTTAATGGCATTTGAGTGGCCTGTAGAATTGCCTTTTTTTCTGTTTTTATTTGTGACTTATTTGGGGATAGTCTAACATAATACAGCCCTTCAAAGATAAGGCCCCCTTCACACAAGTTGAGAACCCCATGACCCATCCAACTCATTAGAATGGAGATGGATTTTGGCAAATGTGGAAAAACTTCAGTATGAAGGCAATCAAGATGCTGTTCCACATTTAGTACTCACCAAATTATGTTTTTCCTGCTATTTTTTGTCATTGCCTTGTCATGAAGCCAATGTCGCTAATCCTACTTCAAATTCTTGACAACCTAGCCATGCCATCGTAGGCACCATCTCAGGTCACCCCTACCACCAGGCTCACCCATGATGCACCTTGCTACCAAGGTTTAGTGCATGTTGAAAATCATTACGGAGCTCTCTCATGTAATGGGCAGCCTGCTACATCCTGAATATTCACCTTTAGACCTCACCAGGACCCTGCAAATGTTTGGGCATGCTTTATTTTTTGTAGCAGAGTTATTATCCTGTCAAAATTGTCATAAATAATGATGAGTTCCAGAGGCCGAGGTGTGCAGCGATAATAGCACTCAAGGGTGAAGATGTTTGCAAACTAATGAACTTAGCTTCACTTTAATTATTTTTTTTTTTTGCTTTTTGACAGTGAAATATCATATTTCACTGAAGCTGGAGATATGTGTGTAGAAATGGCTGCTTGCAGGTGATTACTTTGGAAAAGTATAAAAACTGGAGCAAAGCAAAGCTCTATGAAAGAAGTTTGAAAACTGATATTTTGCCTTTAGGTATGCTCATTTAGCAGCACTCTGTTCTTGCTAACACAAACACGACTCTATGATTATCTCCAACCTTCTAGTGTAGGTGTGTTTGGCACTGACCAGTAGTTAAAAGACCTGATATCCTGATGCCTGCACATCCATGCTGCACATGGCCAAACAGTTGTATCTGTGCCTTACTGTTTAGTTTTTCCTATTGAACGATGGGTTTAACAGAGAATAACTCATTTGTATTTTCAAAATGCAGTGGTTAGGACACTGTTTTATACGAACACAAAAAGACGTAAATTACACTAAATCTTTAGGATAATTGGCTGTGCTGTGACTAATCATATATATCAGAAGAGTACTGTAGGTGTAAAATGCTAGCATTAGCCAAAGTCTAGGGTATGTGATGGCGTAAGGGTTATATTAACTGGTGACATTTAACAACTTATTTTAAGAGTTAGCTATGCTTCACTTGAGGTAGGTGGCTTCAGAGTATACATGTACCACAGCAGTCATGTTGATTTGACGCTGTGCATAAGATTAGAATTAAAGACTAAGCATTTACTTATTTTTCTTTGCTCTTGATAACTTTTTTTTTAATTATATGCACTTCAAACACCAATTGCATAGCCAATTATCAGCAAAAACAGGTTTTTAGTATTTGATATGGTATAGTTAAATAAAATAGAAAGATCTATATTTTACAAAAAGGTTATTTTGTGCACTTGAAGCAGAAGTAAGTATGCAACAACTGAGCCATTTCCAACACACCCACTACACTGAGATCTGGTCTGTGCAGCAGAGGACTAATATGGACATTTGAGTCCTAATCTGGTTGAGGCTGGGATCTGTCAGAGTACACAAACTGAGCTGGGTTTGCTCCTGTCTGCCAGTGCGTCCTGTACGAAGGACGAAACAAGGTGTGCTTGCCAGACAGAAGCAACTCTAAGCATTTTACTGTTACTTTATCCAGGACAAGAACCACTGACTCACCGCTCCTTAACAAGCTTCTGCTAAAACGCACATCTGATCATACAGGCAGTCTTTGTTATCTGCGTCTAACATGAGCGAGGTGTTACACAGTTTTTATAAAAATAATAAAGTAATCCAGTAATAGGTTGTTATGAGTGGATCGAGTATATGAAAGAGGTGACGAATCCAACATAAAAATGAGTGTCTGTTATTAGCCTGTTAATGTTCTACTATTTTATTTTACAATCAAGTCATTTTTCAGTGCTCTGTTTATTGGCATAATATTCATCAAGTTTTACAACAGTGCTTTGTGACCTCAATGGGGTGAATTTGTTGACCAATGAAAAGCAATCTGTTCTTTGTCTTCTGTAGCCACTTCTGTACGTTGGATTTGTTACAGTTCTAGCTTTTATCTTACCTCAGAACTTAGGAAGGGCAATGAAAAAACAAACAAGCTGCTTGTTCAAGTTTGATTTAGGAACAACAAAACGATGGCAGAACTCTTCCCCTCATGAACACACTCCTTTGTTTGTCGCAAGGGTCGTTGGTTCTGGAGGGTGCGCAGGAACAGGGTTCTTGATAACTACCCCATGCCCATTGGTCACTTTTGGAGGGGTCTGCCTGGAGACATAGATGCTGCTTATGAAAGACATGACGGCAGGTTCGTCTTCTTCAAAGGTAAGCAGCAAACATCCCACAGACAGACTTATGTATTCATGATCTACAGGGAACATGTGCAAATCATAAACTGCATATACACAAGCTCAACTATTTAACTGTTTAGTGAACATGTGGAGTTTCTTTTACTGCCAGGGAACAAATGTTGAACACTTGGCCTCATTTCTCTTTGTTAATTGCAAGTCAGGTTTTAGGAAAGGGTTCTATATTCTCACAACTAGACTTGTGTGTGAGTGGTCATTTGATTTTTTGATTGCTTTTTAATTTTTGGTAGAAAACAATTTGTCTCATTAAATGACATACACATTAATTTGTTTTGTTGTATTGTATTGCCTTAAATCTTTATGCATCCAATCAGAACTCATTTAATTACGATGGACCCCCATTAGGGCTGACTTGTATTATGTTTTATTAGTTTTGCTGCTTGTCTATCTCTGTTATAATGGATTGTTGGCAAATTGTATATACCATATTTTCTGCCATACACGTCGCACCGCCCTATAAGTCACATCAGTCCAAATATGTCAAATAAAGTGGAAGAATCCATGAATATGTCGCTTCACCGTATACGTCACATCCATTATGCATCACCGCTGACGCGTCGCGTTTGTTACGTGTCTCCGCTGACAACCCAGAAATGTGGGCCGGTGTTGTGCCAAAAATCGATTGGCTGCCAATTGGCAGCCGCAGGAGCGTGCAAGGGAGGCCTTTAAAAAGATTTTAACAAGATTAACACTTAATTTGTTGCAGACGACTTCTTTGATTGTAGATAAAACCAGCAACCAGCCGAATCCAAAAAGCAGGAATCAGTTATCGTAAATCCAACTAAATATGCGTCCTTAAAATCCACAGATGGCAGCAGAGATAGTCTTCCAGTCGATGACATATCCAGCTGCGTGCGTGCCAACAGGGCGAATTGGCTCGCCTAAAGCCTGTCTTCGAAGAAATGTTGTAAATTGAGTTGAGGGACCAACTGATCAAAACAAGTCCATAATTGTGGTTCGGAAGAAATGCAAGAGAGGCTCAGAAGCAGTTTCACAGACGAACAGAGCAGCAAAGCAAAGCGGAGAGGGAGGGGAGAAGCATCCGATCTTGGCAAGAGCAAGTGGCTAAGTGTCATTAATAGCTACTTTTACCTATTACATGACACAACAGCATGCCATACTGCTCGATCGTCATCTAGCGGCTGAAAATGGTAGTGTTCAATATTTCAGTCAGAATGAATGAAAACGGTCATATCTCAGCCAAAAATTGGTTTATAAATATGGGGAAAAAATCCATAAAAACATCACTTGGGCGTATAAGGCACAGGGCATGCAAATTATGCACACACAAAAAAGCGACTTATAGGGCAAAAAGTACGATACACGTTGTATCGGACACAGATGTGCAACAATATTTCTTCTTTGTTGAAACGTTTCGTCTTTTTATCCAAAAGACGTCTTCAGATATTCTCTCAACCTTGAAGAAGTCTCTCAACCTTGTTAGAAGAATATTTGAACATTTAATCCACATCTTATCATGAAAACCAATCTGATTTTATAAATCAAGTCACCTATTTAACATATTTTCTTTATTTCAACTTTATACTCGAAAATATTATTTTCGGAGCATAGTGAACATCATTAAGCACATCTTTCTTACCTTATATGTATTTTCTTGCTTTAAAATTCTAACCCACCATCTGATTTTTACTTTAGAATTCAAATTGAGTTATATTTCTTTCTGGTCACGTCAAACCATCATGCTCTAATGCTATCATATAGTAGCAGTAAAATAGATCCTGAAACTCTGTCCACCGGTTGCAGATAAAATTCCCTCACCTTAATAAGAAGGCAGCCGCTCATAATGTATTCTACATGCTGAGCATAAATCTTTTTTAGCACAGCTTGTTATTTTATACAGTGGGAGCAGATTGTCTTTTATAACTCTCGATGGAAGTTGTTGAATGAAAAAGGAAGAACCCAGCCTTTAATTGTGCTTGACTCTGGGAGCTTCGGGCTTTGGGGCAGCTGTTGATAATGTGGAGGATGATGTCATTGGCAAGCCTCTCAGTGTGACACTTGGCTATGAGCCATTAACAAAGGAAGGGCCAGACAAGGGAGTGGGGAGGTGGGAAGAAAGGAGGAACTAGCACTACAATAGGAGGTGGTAGCAGTCAGATGTACAAATGAGCCCATCAAATCAGTCTGTTTTGCTTTACTTTTTTCCTGTGTAATGAGCCAACTTAAATCTAAATACAAATGACTGATTTATTTTACTGTGCTGACATTTGGAGGATGACTTTTGTTCAATTTTAGAAAATTTTCACATCAATTATTAATTTTCCAGTTCTTATGTCACCTGGTACTGCTAAACAGATTTTATTTCTGTTCACTGATGGAATCAGGTGTAGGAGGCAAATAATAACACTTTGGTATAAAAATCCCTTTCACAAATGTTAGACTGACTCAACTTATGATAGACACAAAAACAAAATGGTAAACTTTCAACTTTGCACCAATCAAATTCCAGACTATTTGTCACTTTGTCAAGATTTCACCCAAACTAACAAGCTAAATGTGTTGAAGTGCTATGAAGAGTCGGGACATGGGTAAAACATGTAATATTACAAACTTAAGTGGATCTGGATGGCTGTTTAGCAAAATATGGCAAATACAAATTAGATTGTATTTTCTAGGTGGAAAAATATGCAGGACACTTGTGTGCAATGCATCTTTCTAAACGTTTTACAACAAGCTAGCTTGGATGAGCAGACTTTCCCATGTTTCTAGATCACCGGTATAGATCTTGCGTACATCAGTAATATCTGTATGTGTGTCCCTGCTCTATCAAACCCGCCTGCAAACAGCAAACTTTCATTGTCTCATCTGATTTGGCAAAGACCTAGTAATGACCCTTTGGTTTAAACCACATGTGTTAAAGCTGGGAAACCTCTGAAACGTGCAGGATAATCAGTACCAGGAAACATTTTCCTGTACTTGAAAACAGAAACATTGTTAAAACAAAGTATACTGTGTTTAAAAATTTAGTTTCTCAAATCTTGAGATTTGAGGGTTGAGGTGGTTTGGTGGAAGGATGTCTGATGGAGGGGAAGGTGGATTGAAGCCCAAAAAGAATTGTAATGGTTGAATGGAATATTGCACTCCAACACCACCCCTCCCTTTCCCTACAGTCTAACATTTTAAAAACAGTAAAACCTCCCCCTCATAAAAATATATAAATATTTAATGCTACAGCCTGACACGAGACCAGCCACTCCTTATTGAGAGTTACAAGCCAAACCCAAACTTCTTAGTCAGTAATGTCGTACTTATTCCTACTTTGTTTTGATTTCTTGCCAACAAATCATTACTGCTTTTTTTTTTTATAATTTACAAGTGTTTCTGAAGACTCTTTTGATTTCTGAGACTGTTTTTTGCCAGGATTTCCAGGAAATGAAATGCACAGGCACGTGTGTTTCTATGCCTGCCAAAATGTGAATTTGTGTGTCTATTCCCAATATATACATAATTAAGTGCACATGTCCATATTGTTTCTCAGTATTGTATGTGTTAACATTTTTTTTCACAAGGTTTATATTTGACCCAACTTCAGAACAAGCTGAAGATAATGGATGGATGGATGGATTGATGGTTTATATTTGGCAGTGAGAAGAGAATCATCCGATTGTAAAATAAAAAAGGCTATAAAACCCTTTTCTTCTCTTCCGTAGGAAACAGATTTTGGCTTTTCAGAGAGGCTAACCTTGAACCAGGCTATCCACTTGAGCTGGTTGACTTTGGTCGAGATATTCCATATGACCGGATAGACACGGCAATCTGGTGGGAGCCAACAGGCTTCACTTACCTCTTTCAAGGAGACCAGTAAGGAAGCTCTTAATCACATGAAATCTCTGTCATTCATTTGTCTTAGCCACAGAGGCAGGTCTCGGTCAGTGTCACTGTAATAATCTGTCAACCCGTTCTTTTTGTGACCATCAGAAATTAGAGAATAATCTGCCATAACATTGTCTGTCTGTGGAACATAGTTAAGGACTCAAACTTTGGTAATCTCACAACTTTTTCCATGAAGCCGCCATCATTTTTAACTGAGTGGTTGCAGTCGTTGATTTAACAGGCATATTCTCTGACTTGAGTATTTTTTTAATTAATTTCTTAACATCAAATAGCTGCTGAACCATTATTGTCCACATCAGTAACACCTATGCTATCATGACCATGTACAGTTGGTGTACTTAAGGTAAAACATTTTAACAATACCATACTATTTTTAGTTGTCTTTATATTCCCAACACTTCTCTATACACCTAAAGTTGTACAGATGAAAAATCTGAAACCGTATTAGAACACAAGTCATGAGAACATGCTGAACTCCACCTGCTCTTTTGTGAGAACAGAAATGGCAGTGATGCAATAATCATAAAAAATTAATCAGACTGTAGGTCTTAAAGTGTGGTCAGTCTTCTGTTAGCACAGCATGCTGACTGGCTTTGAGTTTCTAAGTGTATATTTATGTTGTGCACAGATTGAAATGTTCTGTGGAAACAGTTTATGTACACATCATGTATCCTCACTACATACTTTTCTTGGTAAGAAGTCTGATTTGTTTAAACAAGTGATAAACAGCAAAACCACCAAAACTTACCACCCCCTTTCTGTTACTGTGTACAGGTATTGGCGCTTCAATGAGCAATCACGTTTGGCTGACAGAGGCTATCCAAAGTCAGTAAGAGTTTGGGATTCCTCAGTGCCTCATACTCCCAAGGGTGCCTTCCTCAGCGATGATGGAGGTAAGTTAAGACAACATGAGAGCTCTTAGTGAATGAGCATGTGTGAATCTGCCTAAAATAACAAATCAGGGTGTGGTCATTCTATCAGGAGAGATGGTCACGTTGCAAAGTGAATTTTAGCCACAGCATTGTTTGCTTCACTTTGTAGAGTGGAAATGAAATTGATCACATTGAATATCTCAAGCACATGATGTCTTGTTTTTATAATCACTTTTGTGTTCCACTTTCTTTGTATATTTCAGCTTACACATTCTTCTATAAGGGTTCCAAGTACTGGAAGTTTGACAACCATCGTATGAAGAGTGAACCAGGCTACCCCAAGTCCATCCTGAGAGACTTCATGGGCTGCAGTGTGGACCTAGATCCTGACCGTGACACAGACTCCGGGCGCAGATACCCTGATGTAAACCGTCCCCCTTTCAACCCGGACGCAGGACGTGACGGTGACAAGGGCAAAGATCAGGATAGAACAGACGGTGGAGACACAGATGGAGACACAGGCAAAGGCTCAGACAAGGACAAAGAAGAAGACTACCGTGAGGGTCAGGAAGAAGACACCAATGAGGTGGATGTGGTGCTGAAGGTAGATGACAGCAAGGAGCGAACCATGAATATTCTGATGGTGACCATCCCTTTGGTCCTGGTGCTGTGCATCTTGGGACTGATTTACGCCATCATTAACACACTGCAGAGCAAAGGGGCGCCACGATTGCTGGTGCACTGCAAGCGCTCACTGCAAGACTGGGTCTGACCCTGGCCACAAGGAGGCACTGAACGTGAACCAGACTTTAAATACGTCCCCTCACCTAACCTGTCTGTCTCAAATGCTCAGTGGCTCCTGCAGCTCTTGGATCCATTCTGTACGCATACACAGGCACTCACAAACTATGAACAAACATAAGCAACGTCTTATATTTACACACACTGACGTACACACCACCTCTCCTTTCTCCTGTTTCCCATGGTGCTCTACTACGCAGTGACTGTAGTCTATTTATACTAGAGTACTTTGCACATTGTTTTTATTTGATGTTTTTTTTCGGGGTGGGAGGGTACATTCTGTGTGTGAGTTTTTTATTGTTATTTGTAAATCAGGAAGGCCATTGGATTCTCTCTCTTCTTTGTACTGCCACTGCCTTCCCCTAACCTCAGCTTTTTCTTTACGAGATATCTTGGCATGTGTTTGTGTCATCTCAGAGGGAAAACGTTCAATGATTCGCAAACAAGGTTCTTTGCTTCATTTATGGCTGAATAGTGGCCCTGCCCCACATTATCTTTAGTATTTCTGATGACCCTGCTGCAATCAAAGTATCTTTAATATCTCCAATATCTGCACTCTCATATGTTAAAGATGTGAAAGTGAGTTTTAACTGGACTTACAGCTATTTTATTGTAGTTAATGAAAACCTGTTATGAGCCCGGTATTACTTTTTTCTACTTACTGTGGCACTAACTGTGTGTGAATCCAACTAAGTAGCTTTTTCATTTAGCATTTGCTAACTTTTCCTTGTAGCTTCTGCTATTCTCTCATCTTGCTGACTCTCCACAGGACATAAAAAAGTGTTAAACTTTCACTATTCAAGTAGTTGTTTGGACCTTTTTCTGTAGGACACTCTGTCTGTTGCGAGCTCTTTTGTGTTTTTGGGTAGTGCTCTGCAAGTTTGGAGTAGGATTTCTCAGCCATAGCGTTATTGGCCAGTTATACTTGTGAGATTTCTTCTAACGTAAAAATTTTAAGTAATCCTCATCGAAGGGAGATCTTAATGACTGGAAACAGCCAGCAGAGCTCCACTATCATCTCTAGATTTCGCAGGTGCACACGATAGACCTTGCATTTTGTAGATTTGGTACTATTTAGATTAGGAGTTGGTTTTGTGATGTTGACTCAAGTATCAGCAAATGCTTTGTGTGTGAATGCAACATATGCAGCCATTGGTTAGAAAATAAGACTCAGGTTGCAATAAACTGTAATGTTTTTATTATTAGGATAACAAAAACCTGGTTCTCCTTCCTTGATGTTGTACTCTCCCAGTTGGATAGCAGATCTCTCCCCCCTGTACGGAAGAGCACACGTCTCCACCCCCCCACCCCT